TTGGTGAGGGCTTTGTCCCCTCCTCTTACGCCGGGCCAGGCCAGGACTGTGTGGGGCTTCCGTGAGGGAAGGGACCGTGTCTCCTCGTTCTGAGCAAAGCCTCTTCCTCTCAACTGGACCTTTCCCAGGGCCCGTCCAGGTTTTCTAATAGATCTGATTTCCCTCCACAGCTTGGCAGCAAGACTCTGGTGTGTTCCTCCATTATCAGGAGATCGATACACTAAAAGTCTGTAAATCCTACAGAGCTCTAGGGTGGTAGTTTTAGACTTCTCTTTATGCAGTCCTTTTAAAAAATATTTTTGCAAGCCTAGGATGTACAGCCAGTGACATGGGAGAGGTGACGTCGGGGCATTCTACCAAAGCCCTCAGTTGGGTTCTGTGGCATTCCTTTTAGAGATGAGTGACCCTGGGAATGACCATTGATTGGTGAGGTGTTCTCAGATAGCGGCTCTCAAGCGAAAGCCTGTTTGGTGGTTGGGAGATCTAGTCAGGATAGTAGTTTGGCCACTGTAACTAAGGTCAAAGTGACTAAACAAGAACCAAGTAGAAGTTAACGTTTCTCTCTCATGCAGTAATTGATCATAAGTGGTCTGGGTCTTGGTGGCAGTTCCTGAGTGTTGGAGGCTGAGGTTCCTAATGCTCTGCTGCTCTGTGGTCTCAGTAGATGGCTTCCGCCTGGAGGGTTAGAATGGCCGTGCCATTTTCCATCCGCGCGGACCCACTCCAGCTGATGGGTTAGGGTGAAGGGGACCTGGAGCATGAGCTCACTTCCTGCGGGGCCAGCAGAGAAGCTGCATAATGACACTCTGCTCACAACCCCCCGACCACAGCTTAGCATCTAGCTCCCAGGGAGCGGGGGAAGTAGTCTTTCCTTGACAGCTCTGTGCAGGGGTAAGACTCAGGGACTCTAATACTGAAGGAAACAGGGGAGAATGAATCCTGGGGACAGTTGGCAGATTCTGCCACAGGCTGGACCAGACCTGGCCTTGGAGGGTGCAGTCCAAGTGCCTTGGCCCATCATTGAATTACTGCACCATTTATTGAACACCGACTCTGTGCCAGACATTGTGCTTGGTTAGCCCTGAGACTAAGAAACAAGTAACATGCGGATTCTTCCTTCAGGCCTCTCATTACAGTGCAGAAGGGGCAGACAGATAGGTAAACCCCTAGGCTGGAGGTGCTTGAGGTTCCCGGGGGCTGTTGGGGGTGCCTTGGGATAGGGCACGTGCGGGGAGAGATGGGCAGTGCTTGAAAGATGAGTTGCTGTTTATCAAGGAACGGTGGATGGTGTTCTCCACATTCCGAGTCATCGCAAAGGCATGGAGGAGGTTCACTGGGCCTGCATGTGGAGAACGGGGCCGGGACCTGTTTTCCACGGGGCCGGGGCTCAGTGCGGGAGAGGGAAACCGTTAGTCTCATGTTTTGCCCCCCGCTCGAGGCTCCATTCTTGCCTTCCCGCTCACCCACATCCTCTTCTCCGGCCACTGGGTCCAGTGTACTTTCCTTGCCTTTGCACCTTCCTTATGCTCTGCTGTTCCCTCAGCCTGGTCTGCCCTTCCCTGTGCTATTGGCCAGTCCACATCCTACTCATCCTGTAAGGTCTAGTTGAGAGGCGTGGCAGCCAGGCCACTGCATGTCCCTCCCTGAGAACGGAGTCTTGTTGTGGTCACGGTGTCCTTCGCGTTTTATACACGGAGGCCGGTGCTTCAAGAGGGCGAGCAGCGTGCCCTGGTCCCTCAGAGAGAGGTGGCGGGCAGCAGAGGGCCCAATCTGCTGTCCTTCCTGCTTGCCGGCCAGGGGGTTCCGCTGCGGACGGCCATTTTGGTGGCAGGGAGGTAACCGGGTGGGGGGCATAGTGGGGAATAATGTGGAGAGAGGAATCCTCAGTTCAGATGTACAGTGGGGCTTTCTTAAAATTGCCCCCCTTCCCTCCTGAACACTGAGGTTAAATCCTCGGACCACAGTCACAGCGCGACAAACCGGGGTTTACATCTGTAACTCTGAACCTCACATTATTTTAGCTTTTGAAAATTTAAAATATACAGAAAAGAAAGTCAGTGTATATGAATAGTCTCACCCCTCAGAAATAACCACTGTTAATGTCCCAACATTTATACTTCCAGTTTTAAAGAAGACTCACAGTTTTTCCTAATATAAAGATAAAATGATTCTGCTCAGGAGCTACACAGAGTTAAAAAATTATCCCAAATCCTGTCCCTCAGAAATGTTTATTACCTATTCTTAAGAAATACTCATTCTAGACATGTTTTTAGGAAAACAGAATAAAGATAAGTAGGCCAACTTTTACAAACAGTTATCACACACTCCTTCCTGTCCAGTGTCACAGCCGTTAGCCACGGGCAGCTGCTGACCACTTGAAAGGTGGCTGATTTCGAATTGAGATGTGTCACATGTGCAAAGTACACATGAGATTTGGAAAGCTTTTAAAAAATTTTTCATTCATTCATTCATTCATTCATTCAAGTAAGCTCTGTGCCCAGTGTGGGGCTTGAACTCACACCACAGAAATCAAGATTTGCACTCTCCATCACCTGAGCCAGCCAGGCACCCCTCGATTTGGAAAACTTAATGCACAAAAACAATGTAAAGTATGCCTGTAGTTAAAAAATATAGGTCGCTTGTTAAACTGATAATATTTTGCAGATATTGAGTTAAATAAAAGATAATATCGAAATTAATTCCACCTGCTTCTTTTCCCTTTTTTACTATAGCAACTGCAACTCTTAGAATAACGTGTGGTTTGTACACAGATCTCTGGGGCAGCCGTTCTCGATTTGAAAAATAAAGTATTATGGGAACGAACTTGACTATAAACTGTATTTTAAAAAAAAGAAAAATCAAGTATTAATAAGTACTAATGGGAAGAAAGAAACGAAAGTGAATCTCAGGGAATTGTTGAGCTCCAGATAAATGTTTCAGCGCCTGGCATCGCTTCCTAAAAGAGTTCAATCAACTTTTCAAAAGACTAGAGTCTTTTTTTTTTTTTTTTCTTGAAGCCTATAGTACCGTGATTTGAAAGATGGTGCTCTGAAGCACCTCCCAATTTTGATATGCTGTCGTTTTTGCACTGTGATGGCTTAAAGCAGTCACGGTCTGTTCTGTAACTGTCATTCTTATAGGCACCTGGTGTCCTGTATGTAAATGCGCAGACCCTCACTGTCAGACCTTTGCCCACACATCCTTCATCCCTGAGTCCTGAGTTTCCTTATTAGTCAGATTTCATTCTCAAGAGCTTCTCCTTGGGCTACGCTTGTGTCCCTATGCCCTTGCTTCGCTGTCTTCGGTTCAGGACATGACTGTGGGTCTTGCCTGCTTCTCCCCCTCATCTTGTAGGTGATTTTCCTTTTCTTCTTGGATGGCTAAGGAATTCTTATGTTCAGTCACTTGACTCAGCCCCCATTTGGTGTTGCTCGGCTCATCCCAGGACCCTCAGTCTCCTCGCTAAGAGACTATTTTAGGCTTCCTGGTACACAGGCAGAGGTGCTGCTGAGAACTTTAGATTTGGCAGATCTGGGTCACTGACCAGACGACTTTGGAAGGCTCTCGTACCAGCTCGCAGCCTTCAGTGGACCTACTGCTCAGAATCTCAGTGGGTCGGTCCTCTGTTGTTTTTTTTTTTTTCTTTTGAGTTAATTTTAGATTACCTAAATAATAGGCAAATCTGTTCTCATTTCTGGGACCGGAATGTTAAGGATAAAACTAAAGTCCACTTTGGCCCTTAGCTCCGGTTGAGGTCCTTGCTGCTCTGCACCCCGGTGGTAACCACAGTCACGGATTTGGGACATGTCCCTCCAGACCTGTTACGTCGCTCTTATGTCTTGAAAGAATCATGTCCTGTCCCGTGACAGCAGGAATACGTCCTGCTCAGGCTGGTGTGTGATTGTTCTGGGTTTGTTCAGAACATCTAGATGTGTGGATCCCAAAGCTGCTTCTGGAGCGAGCTCTTCATTCGAATTAACAAGCGGGCACAGATGTTAACAAAATAACAGCCATAAGTAGTGGACTCTTAGGGGTAAAACCTGCGGCTACACATTCCCAGCTGACAGTGTCTGTGTAGGTTCAACTTTCAGGCAGAAATAGACAGACTGCATGCACTCAGGTCATTTTGACACAAACTCATTTTAAGAATCTGACTGTACAAGGGGCGCCTGGGTGGCTTAGTCGGTTAAGCGTCCGACTTTTGCTTAGGTCATGATCTCGCGGTTTGTGGGTTCGAGCCCCGCGTTGGGCTCTGTGCTGACTGCTAGCTCAGAGCCTGGAGCCTTTTTCAGTTTTTGTTTCTTTCTCTCTCTGACCCTTCCCTGCTCACGCTGTCTCTCTCTCTCTCTCTCTCTCCTAGAAATAAATAAAAATATTAAAAAAAAAAAAGAATCTGACTGTACAAGACATTCTGATAAGGCCATAGAACACAAAAGAGCTCGGAGACTTCACCGCGTTGCTCTTAGAAAATACTTGGTATTGTTTTATAAAGACCATGCTGAAAAATATTGTAAGACAACTTTGTGTTTTCCTACTGAACTTGAGCTCTCTCTGTTAACATATACCAAGTCTTTCTAGATTCAATCAATGTGTGACAAAGGAATGAGCTACCACCTGTCTGAGTACAAACCCTAGAACATTCTTTTTTTTAATGTTTGTTTGTTTTTGAGAGAGAGAGCATGAATCGAAGAGGGGCAAGGAGGGGGGCGAACACAGGATCTGAAGCAGCCTCTGCAATGATAGCAGTGAGCCTGACGCGGGGCTCAAGCCCATGAACCATGAGATCATGACCTGAGCCGAAGTCGGACGCTCAGCTGACTGAGCCATGCAGGTGTCCCTGGAACATTCTTATTAAATGAACAGAATTCACTGTACGATTGGACTCCATCTAAGGTTATGAGGTTCCAGAAGGGCCTTGCTGGGGGCACGGTGCAAGGGTGTGGTGGTCCTGAAGTCCTTGGGCGGGCTTCCCACTTAGCTTCTCGCTTTGTTCCCTGTAGATGACATGGCTGAACTCCTCCTCGGGGAGTCGAAGCTGGAGCAGTACCTGAAGGAACACCCCCTGCGGCAGGGGGCCAGCCCCCGAGGCCCCAGGCCCCAGCTGACCGAGGTCCGCAAGCATCTGACCGCCGCTCTGGACCGGGGAAACCTGAAGGTATTGTGGGTCTCTGAGAGGCGGGGGGTCGAGGGGTGACGCTTGGCCCGCCCCACTCTGGGCAGCGAGCAGTTACGAGGAGCGGGGCAGGTGGGGCACACTGCCAAGACTCCTGTGCGATGGCTGTGCCCGCCCCACCGTGCGGGGGCTTGCGGCTCCATAGGGCCTCTCTGGTGAGTCTTCGACGACACATAGCCTGAAGCATCTTCCCCAGGTGCTTGGAATAAAGCTGCCATGTTGGCCCAGAGCTCCACCTGGCACCTTGGCCCCGGTAGGGAAGAGAGAGGTTAATCAGGAGTGCCGTTTACCGCACGGTTCCTGCCTGAGATCCGCGTGTCCCCGGCCGCTGTGGCCCAGAACTGTGTGGGACCCCTACTGGTGACCGCAGGCCTGGGACCTTGGTGTGGGAGGGAGCCAGGACGGGAACTGCCCTCTGCCTGAGCAACGGCCTGCTCCTCAAGGCACATGAAACCTTAAGTGCTACCCTTCTTATCCACCCACCCTGCCTTCTGGCCTCTGCACCCAGCTTGCCCTCTCCCTCTCGCCACAGTCCTTTCTCGCTTCCTCTGAATCTCCTTTCATCTGGATTTCGCTCCCCCTTCACCCTCCCCACCTGTTAGCTCACTTTCGGGGCTCAGCGTTCTCCCCAACCCCGAAGCCTGGCTCTTACTGCTTCTGCAGGCTGCTCGCTGCCTGCACCCAGCCCGTTCCCATCAGCGTCTCTAGCTGCCCTGTGCTATTGTGCCGCCCTCGCCATATCACAGCTCCAGAACTCTTTCATCTTCCCGGTGAAGCTCTACCCCTTACCCTCCAGCTCTCCGTTCCCCCCTCTCCCCTGGCAACCCCCATTCTGCTTTCTGTCTCTATGATTTCCACTGCTCCAGGGCCCTCATAGAAGCGGGATCGTATAGTCTTTGTTTTTTATGACTTGCTTATTTTATTAATATGATGTCCTCAAGGTTCATCCGTATCGTAGCATGCAGCAGAATTTCCTTCCCTTTTAAGGCTGAATAATACTCCGCTGGACGTCTGTGCTGCCTTGTGTTTATCCGTCCGTCCGTCCGTCTGTCCGTCCGTCCATGGGCACTGAGGTTGCTTCTAACTTTCAGTAGTTTGAAGAACGCTACTCTGAACGTGGGTTTGCAAATATCTCTTCAAGATCTTGTTTTCAATTCTTTTGGGCATCTGCCCAGAAGTGGGATTGGTGAATCATATGCTAATTCTATGTTTAATTTTTTGAGGAACCTCCATACTGTTTTCCCCAGCAGCTGCACTATTTTACATTTTACATTCTCACCAACGCTGAGTTCCAATTTCACAGCATCCTTGCCAGAGTTTTGTATTTCTGTGTGTGTGTGTGTGTGTGTGTGTGTGTGTATGTGTGTGTTTTGTTTTTGGATAGTAGCCATCCTAATAGTTTTGAGGTGGTATCTCATTATGGTTTTCATTTGTATTTCCCTGATGATTAGTGATGTTGAGCATCTTTTCATGTGCCTATTGGCCATCTGTGTGTCTTTGGAGAAATATCTATATTCAAGTGCTTTGGCTGGTTTTTCTTCAGGTTGGATTTTTGTCGTTGTTGTTGACAACCTGGATGATTTCTCTTTGCCTTTTCTTCACTGCCCATCTCAGAATCCTCCGGGACTGTACTCTCCTCCCCTCGCCACGAAACCATGTTCTCCTCCATGTTTTCCTCAACTTTGCTTTCTGTGTCTGTTTTGGAAACTTGTGCCTATTCCCAAATTGCTGTGTGACCGCAAGGAGATCACTTCCCCCTCTGGGGCTTCGTTTCTCTTTGTTTGAAAGGGGTGGGCTGTTGGGAGGGCGCTTGGACCCTCCCAGCTCCACTGTATTCCAAGCCTGCGAGCTGTCATCCTGACAGGTGCTTCCTCCCTGTTATCTGATCACCCCCTTGGCTCTGGAGCAGTTGAGGGCTTCGGCAACATTTGAGTTTGTGTCCGTGTTCCTCAGTTACGTGGCTGCAGGCTTCTGAAAACCCGGGCAGAAAGCCTCCTTTCAAAATGGCCTTTGTGTATGTCTGTCTCCCATGGACACACAGCCCCAGGCCCTTCAGAGGCTGGCTTGAGAGTGTTCACTTTAATACAGGAAGTTCTGTTTATTGAGCACCTGGTGCTGCTTGTGGGCCTTTAAAAACACATGTTATCTCTTTCGCTGTTGCTTTCCAGGGGCTGCGACACACTCTTCTTCAGAGTCAGCCCCTGATACTGGTAGGTCTTTATCATTGAGAAGGGGTGGAGGGACAGTGGACACAAGGGGCCACACTTCCCAGTGACACCCATCAGGTTTAAGCACTGCTTCAAGAAGTGTGAGGATGTGTCTGTGTGTTAGGGGAGAAAGGCTGAGGCTCATGCCCCAGGCCTGACATCTGGCTAGTTTCTTTCCCGCCTTCTAGACCCCCGACTTCAGGGTGAAAAACTGACTTCTTATGTTACCAGGTGTGGATGGGTTTTGCTCTCCACCCTCTACCCAGTGTAGTGGTAAGAACATGGAATTTCAAGTTAGAATTCCCGAGTTTGTGTTTCCAGGTCTAGATTTATAAGCTGTGTGACTTGGCAAAGTTACTTAACCTCTCTGAGCCTCACGCTTCTCATCTGTAAGCATACAGTTAGCTCAGGGTTGTTTTGAGGCGTGGATGTGGAAGCTCCTTCGCAACTACGCAGCGCTAGGGATTTGTCATTTGTTGCTGTTTTACTGGTTCTACCTGGAGAAATGTTCTCCTTCTGCCATTTTTTAGCTTCCTCTACCCAATACAGAATGTTGCAGAGTCGCACGGCTTTTGTACGGGAAACTTCCTCTCTTCTTGACCTTAAGTTGGTTTGTCTCCTGGTTGGGACCTTGCTAAAGCCCGGCACAGACGAGGTGCCCACAACACACATGTGGGATGAGGCGGGAAGGACCAGAGCAAGGCAGCGATGCGGTGTGGAGGAAGGAGCCTGGCCTGGGAGTCAGGAGCCCTGCTTCTGCTTCAAGTCAGGAGAACTGTGTTTATCAAGGGCAAGGCCACGTGGACACCATGGGGGAGCTGCTCTCCGTCTGCCTGTGGCCCATTGCCCTCCCTCTCCCAGCAGCCCCCCCCACCCCCGCCGCGCACCCTGTGCATCCAAACAGTGCCTTTACGCTTGTAATTCTCTTCAGGCTTCTGCATCTTTTCCATCTGAAAAGTACATCTTAGTGTACTTTTCTTTAAAAACAAAACAAAACAAAAACTTAAACATTTTTTCAAGGGGTTAAAAATCTTTTTCTGTTGATAAAAAATATATAACCCGAACGTTAGCACTGTAACCATAGTAAAGTGTACAGTTTCAGAGGCATTAAGTACATTCACACTGCTGTGCAATCATCCCCACCGTCCATCTCCAGAAACTTCTCATTGTCCCGGGATGAGGCACTGAGCTTCATAGACCCCAGCGTCCGCTGCCCCTCCCCCTTGCTTGCAAGCCAGTGGTCCGGGTGCTCGAGGACTTGGGGTAGGAAGGAAGACGCAGCCTAGTCGGCCAGGAAGCCTTTCCTCTGGGTGGAGAGCCTGCGGCGGGTGCTGTTTTCATTGCTCTTTTTCGCTTTTCTTAAGTCTGCTTTGATTTCTGTTTGCTGATGTAATTCTAATTTCTTGCGTTGGCGTCTCTCTCTCTCCCTCTCTCTCTTTTTCCCTCCCCACCCCTCTCTCCACTCATAACTCTTGTTCCCTTCAGGGCTGGCTCAGTGGTAGAGCGAGCCACTCTGGATCTCAGGGTTGTGAGTTCAGGCCCCACATTGGACGTGGAACCTAGTTAAAAAATAATAATTAAATTAAAAAGAAACCCCTCTTGTTCCCTTCATTTCCTTTGCCTGTTTTATCATCTCTCCAGTGCTCTGTGGGCCCCTCTCCCTTTCGAGAAATACCTTATGATTTCACTTCTGTGTGGAATCTAAAAATCAAAACAAATGAGTAAACAGATAAAAAGCAGAAAGAGACCCATAAGTACCGAGAACAAACTGATGAGTGTCAGAGGGGAGGGCAGAGATGGGCAGAATGGGTGGAGGTGAGCGGGAGACACAGGCTCCCAGTTATGGATCGAAGAAGTCATGGGGATAAAAGGCACAGCATAGGGGACACATTGATGGCACCATAACAGCATTGTATGGTGACAGATGGTAGTGATACTCGGGGTGAGTGCAGCCTGGTTCCTGCCGTTGTCCGATCTGTGTGACAACTGTGTGTTGTTCACCTGAAACTAATGTAACATTAAGTGCCAGCTATACTCACAGGAAAAAGAAAGAAAGAAGTAGCTGGAAGCTGACCTGGCGGATAGCTGCTTTGCCATGCTCCAGCGGGTGACCTGAGCATTGCCCGCCCCCTCCTGGCTGCAGGGTTCGGGACAGTGCGGCTCCTGGCCTGCTCCCGAGTGCTGGCCAAGCTAGTTTCGCATAGCCTGGGTTCCAGTGAGAAGGCCTGCGCGAGTGTAATGCATCTGCTTCCCTATCTAGATGGCTGGGCAGGCTCCTCTTTTCCTGCTCAGGAGTGGTGGCCTGGAGGGAGGGCGGAGGGTGCGGCTGGTGGGCGTGGACTGGGGGAGCCAACCGACCACTCCTGCCTGGAGAGGAATGAGGGCCCATCAGATGACTTTTGGAGCTTGCAGCCTCCGTGCAGGGGACCGGGGGTTAGGGCTCAGTCACCTTAACAAGTAGATTGGGCTCAGTGGGAAAAGTTTGATGCAGGAAAGAAAAGTCACGGTTTTTGCACCAATTTATTTGTTATTATTTTTAAATGTTTATTTATTTATTTGGGGGGGGGGGGAGAGAGAGAGAGAGAATGCACGTGCATGCACCGGGGTAGGGGCAGAGAGAGAGAGGGAGAGATAGAATCCTAAGCAGGGCCCGCACTGTCAGCACAGAGCCTGATGTAGGGCTTGATCTCATGAACTGTGGGATTGTGACCTGGGCTGAAATCAAGAGTCGGGCGCTTAGCTGACTGAGCCACCCAGTCGCCCTGCTCCAATTTAGAAAGCCTCTCTCCTGGAGTCATTTGGGTTCCAGTCTTGTGGCATACCCCCTGTGCAACGGGCAGGACCCACCCGGATGCCCTTTTTTGAGAAAGGTGTTTGTATGTTTTTGTTCCTAAAGTGTCCCTTCTGTCCTGGGTCCCCCACAGCCAAGCACAGGGGCCGGACAGGAGCCTCAGTTTTCTGTTTACTTTTGTTTTGTTTTGCAGCAGCCCTTATTGAAATGTAATTCATGTGCCGTATAATTCACCCACTTAAAATGTACAATTCAGTGTTGTTGTTGTTGTTTTTTTTTTGTATATTCAGAGACTTGTGCGATCATTGCCCTTATTTTAGAACCTTTTCATCACCCCCAAAATAAACCCATGCCTGTTAGCGGTCCCCTGCCACCCTCCAGCCACCAGTCCTCGGCAAATGGTAATCTACCTCATGCCTCTATCAGCTTGACCGTGCAGGACATTTCATGTAAATGGAAGCATTAAACATGTAGCCGTTTGTGATGGGCTTTTTCACTTGCCGCAAGCTTCCTGAGGTTCACCCGTGTTGTGGCGTGGCTCGGTACTTCATTCCTCACTCTGGCCGAGCTAGATTCCACCTGGAGGCTAGCCCACATCTTCCTTATCCATTCCTCGGGTGATGGCCATTTGGGTCATTCCCACGTCGGGGCCATGGCGGACACCCTGCTGTGCACGGTCAAGTGCGCCATCTGCGTGGAGAGCCCCAAGGCTTTGCAGCAGCAGCGGGAGGGGCCTGAGGGACCATTACCCAGAGCATCGTCGGAAAACGTTTCTCTCTCTCCTTTTCCTTCTAGTCAGAGTTCCTACAAGAATCCAATCTGATCATGGCCAAGTTGAATTATGTGGAAGGAGATTATAAGGAGGCCCTCAACATCTATGCCCGGGTGGGCCTCGATGAGCTGCCGCTGACCGCCGTGCCCCCTTACAGGCTGCGCATGGTTGCGGAGGCCTACGCTACCAAAGGTGAGCCCGCGCCTCCCCAGCCCAGGAGGCTGTACCCCGGGGCCACGCTGCCCCACCAGGTCCCTAGCAAGGCGTCGAGGTTGAGCCCACTGCTCGCAGTGCATGGTTCAGGCCAGGCCACACGCTGCTTCCTCGGAGCCTCTGTCTGCGGTGCTCACTGAGACAAGGAAAGGTCAAACCTGTCAAATGGGCCAATAGCCAATCTGCTAGGAGAGCTGGGGTTTTTGTGGTGATGGAGATACTGCGCACGCAGGGAGGCTCATCATAGGCTTACTTGGCCACGTGGCTGACCTGTTTTACCCATTAGTGCTGCCTCTGGGCTAATTAAGGCTGATTGTCCCTGAATCTGGAGGTCTCTGGCCCAGTCAGCCGGCCAGTGTTCAGCTGTGTGCCTGGGGGCTGCAGGGGTGGAAGCCAGGGTAAATCAACCCGGTTGCCAGGAAGGAGTTTGCAACCAAATGTGCAAGAATACAGCCTCAGGGAGAGAACAATGCCAGAGGCAGGACGCATACGTTATTTGACCTTTCCAAGCTGCTACTTTCTCATCTGTGAAATGGGTATAATCACATTCTCTTCACAGATTTATTCTAAGGATTCAGTCAAATAATGTATGTAAAGCACTGACCACAGTACCTGGCCTATTAAATGCTTATTAAACAATATTTTAAAATATCAGCCCCAAACAAGGCAGTGAATGGTAAAAGTTGGGCACGGCTAACAGCTTCTTAGAGACAACAGAGGTCACACAGTGGGCCCAGGAAGGCTTCCTGGAGGAGGAGGGACAATTTGAATTCGAAAGTCCATGGTAGGAAAGGGACCATTTGAAGCTGCTCCTCTCCCTCCTGCCACCTACTGTCCAAACCATGCATGTGAAGCACCGTGGCTGCACAGGGGCCACCAGAACAAGGCCCAACCAGAACGACCGCGAGCCGGTCATGTGTGTGGGTTGTCCTATGCAATGTTGAACAAAGCCCCCGCCCGAGGCACACTCCCGAGCTTTGTGGGGGTGTGTGTGTGTGTGTGTGACATAGTCACCCAGGCCCCTGGGGAGCCTCGAGGGCTGCCGGGTTCATCTAATTACTCTCCTGCACACCCCTGTGGGCCGGGAAAGAGGCTGTCTGCCTTGCAGGGCATTCTGGTGGGTTGGTGGGCACAGTCCTTTGAGGCTGTTTGAGGGGGTCCTGAGAGCGTCTGTCTGAGCCACGGGCTGTGCTGGCGTCAGTGCCACACAGCTGCCCCCTTCGTGGCGCCCACTCCGTCCCTCACGTCGCCTCACGTGGCCGAGGCCTGTGGGAGTCTGTGTGTGATTCGGGGCAGGAACGATGTTCTCCGGCGAGAGCTGAACTTCATCTGGCAGTTTGCAGCCCCCCCACTGGGGCCTGGTGGCTTTAGCCGGGGCTGTTTGCTAGTGGGGGCTAGGTGACGGCTCTGGCGCCTGCTTCGCGGCTACAGCTCAGGTCCTCGCAGTGGCCCTCAGACAGACGGGTGGGGCAGGCTGCCCGCAGGTGGCACTGCCAGCATGGTCTCTGTGCCGGTGGGCAGGGAGGACAGGAGACTTGGGCCCTGAGTTGCCCTGGGTGACGTGTGGTGAGCAGTGGGCCCCAGGCCATGGTGCTGAGGCACTTGGCTCTCGTTTTAATTTTTTTTTTAATGTTTATTTTTGTGAGAGAGAGAGAGAGAGAGTGCGCGAGCATGAGCGGGGGAGGGGCAGAGAGCGAGGGAGGCACAAAAACCGAAGCAGGCTCCAGGCTCTGAGCTGTCAGCACAGACAGCTGTGCGGGGCTTGAACTCACGAACTGTGAGATAATGACCTGAGCCAAAGTCAGCTGCTTCACCGACAGAGTCAGCCAGACGCCCTGAGGCACTTGGCTCTTGAGACACCTTGCCTGGCTCATGGGACACCTGGCCCTGGCTGGCTTCTGACTTCCGTGGGCAAGTTCAGCATCACACGTGTACAGGAGAGGGAAGGGTCACTTTTGCCAGCAGAGGCCCCAGCGCCGAGAGCCTGCGCCGGGCCAGGCGTGAGGCAGTGTTGGGCACCAGCACTTAGCTATCTGCCTGGGCTCATCGCCCACCTCCATCACGTACTGGCTCTGTGCCCTTGTGCAAATTCTTAATGGCTCCGTACCTCAGTATCCCCATCTATCAAGCTCTCCTTGGGTTGTCATGAGGATTACATGAGATAGTATATAGGAAATGCTTAAAACAATGCCCGGAACATAACACGATACAAATATTAGCTTACAAGCTAAGTGTTTGATGGGGGGACCACAAGCAGTGACTACCAGTGACAGAGAAGTTGCCCCTTTATTTCATGCAGGTGCCCAGAGACAGGCCAGTTCTCTGAGGAGTTCAGGGGGCTCTTGGTCTCAACTCTGTGTAGCAGTACTCTTTGATTCTTCTTTCTGAAATCAAGGTCCTTGAGAAGTTTTCAGGAGAGATTGTGGACAGATGTTCAATGAAGGCTAAGTGTACAGAGCACTTCCCTGTCCGTGCGACCTGCTAGTCTGCAGGCACCTGAGACGGGGTTGGTGTGGTCAGTTCCATGTTTCCAGTGCTTTTGAATTAGCTGCTGACATTTCCAGGTTGGGACCATCCAGTTAATTCTGGCTCCTTTGGGAAGAAAGGAAGAGCCATCCCCTCATGGCCGCCGGGCAGGCCCTGGCTGGAGCTGGGCACAGCAGCCCCTGGGACGGGCCCCACCTCCCTCTGTGCCCCTGCGTGCCACTGGAGGTGGACGAATTGGCCTTTCATGGGTCACCTAAATTGGCCCATGGCTTCCAGAGGCCTGACATGACCTGGGCTTCCAGCCAGAGCCTGGAAATGTCTGTGAACTTCTACATGAACTTCTCAGCCATGGCTGGGAGCTCTTCCCCTGACCAGCTAATGTTGGCCTTGGCTTATTGGGAATCAGAAGCCAACATCATTCAGTTATCAGTTAGGGCTCTACTGTCTCTTCATTCCTGCAAACCTCTAATTTACAGATAAAGGAAGTGAGACTGGGTGAGGTAACTGGAATATTAGCGATGGGTACTTGTGCCAAGCTCCGTGCCCTTCATTTGGGTATTGCAGCCCATCTTCACAACCACCTTACGAGGTAGGCTCTGTTATTCTTTCCATTTTACAGATGAGAAAGCTGAGGCACAGGGAGGTTAGGTAAGCTGCCCAGGGAGTGGCTGAGCCAAGACTTCAGCGCAGAGACAGGTGCTGGAGCCCACACTTTCCTACTGAGCGGCAGAATGGGGACTCAGTCTGAAGTGTGTGCAACTCCAGAGCTCACGTTCTTAACCATGCTGCTCTGCTGGCACGTGGATCAGAACATTCTTGGGCCGGGTGACCTTCTCAGGGAGGCCAGGTAACCTCCCTGTGCCTCAGTTTTCTCCTCTGTGAAATGGAAAGAATAACAGAGCCTACCCCGTAGGGTGGTTGGGTCTCCTCATGTAGAAGACATTCCGATCACTGGAGAAACCCATGATTTGTATAGACACCCCTCTTCGCAGACTCACCTTCCATGTTCCTCCACCTTAAATCCTTCTCCTTGCCCAGATTTTTACCTGTAGATTCTGTGCCTCAAGCCCACACGTCCTGTCTTCTCTGACACCCCCTGGGACTCACCCGTTCAGAGTTAATCATGTTCGATGCTGTCTGTGCGCAGTAGATTAGTAGACTACCTGAAAATCACACTAGTGTTAGCCGCCCCATTTCCAGACACTCTGTGAGTTCCCCTGAAGGAAGAGCTCTTTGTTTGTTTGCCACCCTCAGAACTTCACACAGTATTTGGCGCATAATGGGTGCTCAGTTACCGAGTGAAATTTATACAAGTTCCCTTGCTTGGATTTTTCCTGAGATGCCCGTCATGTAACTCGGATGATTCCTGGTGCCTTGTCTCATAGCCTGCCACAGTGAGATGCGTTTTCTTTGTAGGTAACACATTGGGCATATTTGAGTGATTCAGGGTCATTCCCTGCCAATCATGGGAAGCACCCAGGAGAGTATGCTGACGTCACACCGTGACAGAGCCTAACATGGATCTCTTTCCAAAAGATTGTACATTTTAGTTCATGTCCAGGATCAGGGAGTTCCCAAGTGGATCTCACCTTCTCCTCATCCCCTTAACTCCTTCTTTCAGTCTCTTAAACCTAAGCCGACAAGAGAGGGTGGGAATAGAGGGAGTTGAGAAACTCTTTAGCTTCTGATAGCACGGGTTTAATCCAGCGAGTAGACATCTTTGTCTGGGATATAGGTTGAGGTTTCAAAAGAAATCTCCAGGACACCAAGTGGCCACAGATGTTTCTTTCCCAAATGGGAAGGCTTGGGAACAGTGGACACGTGGCCACTGTCTATTTTAGGACTTAGATCTGCTGGACATGGGGTGACTTTGTGCAGATAGGATGGTGGAAGCTGGCAGGGGCTTGCCTTCCTGGACGTGACCTTTATCGACAGCCTTGGCCTGTGCCCTGTCGTCCTACAGGGACTGAGCATGCACTGGCTCCAGTCTGAGTGAAGTCCTGTGACATTCCAACTGGTCACAGCCGGTGGGGCAGCTGTGTGCTCTGAGGTTACCGTTTCCCCCCGTCCATGCGGGTGTCATCCTCCTCTTTGTGACCGAAGCTGGCTTGCTGGTGTGTTGCGGCTCGTGGGAAGGGGAAGAGAGAGAGATGTCTGGGGTGGGCACAAGTAGCACATGTCACTTCTGCTGACAGTCCCTTGGTGAGACGTTGCTGTAGGACTGCCGCCACCAGGTACCTGGGAGAAAGAAGACCAGGGGCACATGTCAGCCTCTGATCAGACATGTGCAGTAGAGTGTGGTCTCTCACCTAGCCGGAGCAGCGGAAAGAAGTAGCCTGCACTCAGGTGAATGAAAGGGGACTTGCAAGACTGGCTCTGGTGCCCAAGAGGAGAGGTATTATGGACTCGGAAACAGCGGCGTGGGATCGCACTTCCTTTCTAGATTGCATGGTATGTAGCAGAGAAGGACTGATTGCAAAGGGCACACAGGA